TTTGCCTGGGGAGTGTTTGAGAAATAGCATTGCTTCTGATGTTAGAACTCTACAATTGGGGGAGTAGTTCTTACAGCGATTCAGAAATCAGGATCATCTCATGTGGCTCAAAGAAAAATTGGTTTACCACATGTACACCTACCTTTCATAGATGGTCATTTAGTAGCTTGATGGGATATAAAACCAAGGAATCAGAGAGGCAATTCTGAAAAGAATTGGGGGTTTGGGGCATGTAGTTTTCTTTACAAAGTGGTTATAGATCATTAAACAGTTTAAATGAATCAATGAAAGATGAAGCTTATGATAGAAAAAATGTCTGTAAACAAATATTTTGGAGGGGAAATTGGGGAAAAAAGGAATAGTATAATTTATAAGTTTCTAATCTGTAGCTTTTACTTCTAAAGACACTGGACAGATTGAAACCTTAATTAGCGCACCATTTATCTGAAACTACCCAACCAAATAATTTGAATATAAAAGTTTTTTGCAGAGATGATTTTAAACTTCTGGTACGCATTAAAGCTATCACAGAACTTCAAAGGAAGTTTGTTCTGAGTGCTTGTAGACCCAATTGATGTTTTCTCTCTGCCTAAGACACTTTTTCCTTCCCCATGTGGCTTGGCTAATGTCCTTTAGACATCAAGTCAAATAGCTGTCCTATCATAGTAGGAATGTAAACATTATGTACTGCAAACATGTACCAAAGGGGAAAAAAAAAAGGGAAGGAGATCAAGAGATCGGGGAAGGAGGGAAGGGAAAGAGGATGAAAAGAGAAATTAAAATGTATTATATACGTGTACCAGCTTCCCACAGGGAATGTAAACATCTACTAATAAAAAAATTTTAAAAAGAAAAAATGCATTTGTTATTTGTAACTTAATCATTAAGCTTCATGAGAGCAAATACTGTGTCTGTTGTTCACCATTATTTTCCCAGTAATCAGAATAGAGCCTGGAACACAGTGATTAGCTACTGAATGAATTGATGAATCCATTTACTCTTACATAGTGTACAATTTTTGTTAAATAGAAAAATCTAAGAATCAGAGTAGAAATATGTGTCCATTGAATGAAAATTATAGTAGTATTAAAATTTGTAGATAATACCTCTCATTTATCTCCTGCAAATATCTTTTTCGAGAATTTTATGGCATGGAGAATAGCATGTTTAAGGTATGACATTTGTAAAATGATTAGCTGCAGGGGGCCTTAAGATTATATAGTTCAACCTCAAGATTTTTTTTTTTTTGGTACCAGGGATCGAACTCGGGACCTTGCGCTTGCAAAGCAGGCGGAGGAACCACTGAGCTAAATCCCCGGCCCTTCAACCTCAAGATTTTAAGGTGGAGAAAACAATTATTTGATTATGTAGCTAAGTTGCTGATACGAAATGAAAATTTGGCCTGGTACCTACTGCCAAGCTCCCTGAATATACAAAATTCTGTTTCTTAAACAATCACCACAAAGAACAGACATTCCTTTAAAATAAACTGAGAATGTGTGCAGCTGTATTTGTAAAGATAAATGAAAGGAACTGGGAGAATTTATTAAGAAAAAATAATTTTATTTTTAGTGAATTTGTGACAACCTGGGCACCTCAGAGTCAAGCACATTTAGATGTAGATGTTCTGGTGTTGCCATCTTCTGTGGTAGGTCATTTAATATTGTCTGAATTATATCATATATGTCCAGCATGTACCAAGGTGGCTAGGCCATTGTAGGGTCCAGCTTGTCTTCCTAGTTATTTCTAATATCCCTCAATGTGCTGTTTTCTGAGGCTTGTTACTTTTGTATATGTTTAGAAATATGCCACTCATTCATTCATACATATATACATGCACTTAAGTTTTTGTTGAGTGTTTATTATGTGGCAGGTACAGTAATAAGGATAGAGCAGTCAGCAAAGGATCTTACAGGCAAGTGAGAAAGGAAGGAAAAAGCATGTCAAAGAGAAGTACTGCTGGAGTCAAGAGTAAGTTTTCAATTGCAGAAGTTTTTGAAGATCATAAAAATAAAGCAGAACTTCTTGTTGGCGGAATATTGGGAGAGAAGATGGAAAAGACAAAGCTGTTATGTAGTCACAGTGTATTAAGTGAATGTAGAGATTTTCTTCATTTCAGAAAATTGTTGCTTTCTCTGTATTCTTGACCCTGTAATGGGTACTATTATTATTACCACTACTTACCTAATGTCTTAGTCACTTTTCTCTTTGGGGGGACACAGTACCTAACACTCACTATATAAAGGAAGAGAGGTTTATTTTGGTTCATGTTTCAGTAGCCTCAGTGGTTGCATGTCTGTTGGCTCCAAAACCAGGATGGCACAACACAGGAACATGGAGGACGACTAGCTGCACATCACATGGCAGGCAGGGGCCAGAGAGAGTCAAGGGAGGAGCCAGAAAGAGAGATATTCTCTTCCAGGTCACACCCACAGTGACCTGCGAATGACCAGAACCTACCTTCCATACCACCCCCCTATCCAAACACCTTAAAAGCCCCACCTTTGAGCATAGGGGGCTTTGGGGGCTCATCTACGTATAAACCATAGCCCCTAATATTTGTTTAGGGCATATCCTAATATACACATTTTGCTAAGTGCAATGTCATGTAGACCCTATAAGGTAGGTGTTACATCAACCCATTTTATTCATGAGAGTAGCAGACTAAGGGAAGTTGAGGAGAGTACTTTTTCACCTAGTAGGGGGCAGAGCTTGGTTTGGACTTGGGTCCGATTCCAGAATTCATTCATTGTTATGAAGCATGGCAAGCTAAATAACCTTTGTACTCATATTTTTGCTTTGTTTTCATTAACTTGCCAAAATTTTATGATCTTACATTTCTTTAAGTTGAACCACTTAAAACTGTTGTCACAAAAATTTATGCCACATGCAGATAAACTCAATTAGAAAAAAGTCAGTTATTGTTTAAGTAGTACTTTAAAATTTGATGCAGCAAATAATTTGATAAAGTATAGTTGCCTGGAGTTAATTTTTATGTCATGAATTAATGTATTTATGTGTGTATGAAATGCCGATAACAATGCTTGGTGTGTAGTAGATGATCCATAAATGTTCCTGATATGCCCAAACTAGTGCTTTAAATGCACAGGTTTGTAATCTGATTCAGTAACCTCAGCAGTTACAATATTCTCATGTGGATCACTCCATTTTGATATTACTTTCCTTTGATAGATTTCTAGGGTTTGTTTATTGAACTGTGACTCTCAAATTTTAGCATCCATCAGAATTGCCTGGTGTGCTTATTGAAAGGCAGCTTGCTGGACACTACTCTCACAGTTTCTATTCAGTAGGTGTGGGGTGGTGTCTGAGCATTTTCCTTTCTAGCAAGATCCAAGGTGATGGTTTTGCTCCTCTGAGGAAGTGACAGTTTTTAATTGTTGGTGTTTTCTTACAATAAAGTGGAGTTAATGTGTTGACAGCATTGATGTTGCTGAATTTATTATATGGCCTTTATAAAATAATTCAGAGAAGTTTGGTTTGTACATATATATATATCACTGTGTTTCCTGCTTAGGAAGTTTCCGAAAGGTTGCTTTAGCATTATTTCAAATTGCAGATTATAATTTGCTTTTGTTCTTTTTAAAAATTTCAATACGAAACAACAGAGGTTTACATTTTAGGGAAGAAGCATTGTGTCTTGGAATAAATTTTATAAGGCTGTCTTATAATTGATTTCTGAGAATTCCTGAGTATCAGAATGATGTGCAAATTAAAAATAGTAACAACAAATTTTATCTTCTTTAGTTCTTCTCAGGAATCCTTTTAAAACTAAAATTTGATAGGCTAGTACTGAGTAGAATTTGGTTCTTTCATTCACTTACAAGATTTCACTCAGAATTATACCAATATAACAATTTTACCTTTTCCTTTTAAAGCACATCTTGTATTTTTTGGGAATATAATACTATAATACTAGTACTGAGTAGAATTTGGTTCTTTCATTCACTTATAAGAGTTCATTCAGAATTATACCAATATACCAATTTTACCTTTTCCTTTTAAAGCACATCTTATATTTTTTGGGGATATAATACTATAGAGGGGTTAGTCTCTCAAACAAGAAAAGACAATCAGAAAATCTTTACCCCTGAGATGACAGTGGAATGTTCTCTCATTCAGTGATTACTATATATATATGCCTTTCTGTGCCAGACACTATGGCAAAAGTAGTTGCCAAAGTAATTTATCTTTATCATATACAATGAGGGGTTTTAGTGGATTATAGCTTAGTATGATCTAATTGTGTGACGAAGATACCGGTAAATTTAATGCAATGTTATGCTTTCTTAATAGAATTAGTATTGTGTATAGATCCATGTTCTCCTGTCTTATTTTGCTCAACCATGTCTGGAATATTAGGTGTAGTTAGGATGTAAGAAGAAAAATTAGCGTCATTCTGCAAATAGAGGGGTCTGCTGTTGAAAGATATTGCCGTATTTACATAGGAGGATGAAAAATGTAATACATTGGATGGGAAGATGTCTCCACTGTGATGTTAGTTCATCCCTACTGTAATGTAAGAATCTGTAAGGACAGGGAACTGTCCACCTTGTCCATGACTCTATCCCAAGGCTAACCACAATGTTTGGTGCATATTGAGTAAATAATCAGACCTTCAGCTACTTGTCACAAAGGTGATTTGTTAGTTTTATTACTTAAATTTCCAGAAGACAGACAGAATCACCACTGAAATAATTTTTAGGTGGAGAGATTTCAGTTTTATATAAGAAGAGCTTTGTAACACCTAGATAGTATGGCAGCCAAATTTGTAAACTTATACCTGTTTGAATTCTGTTATTTGAATGTGTAGGTAAAGGCTGCATGGAATTTACTTTTGTACCTTCTTTTGTAGAGTAAGGGCCAAGATACTTTCAGCTATTGACACAGCTGTGTATTCTTATCTTCTTATTTATTTTATTTAACAAAATTAATGTCAAGTAATGATTTTTCTTTTTCTTAAGTGAGACCTTTCTTTTCAGACTAAAGAAAAGCAAGGACCTAGACCGAGAGAGGGCTGCAGCCAGTGAGCAGTTAACCAGAGCTATCCTTCGAGAGAGGATATCAAATGAAGAAGAACGCTCGAAGGCAAAGCACTTGGTAAGTTGTAAAGAACTCTTGCTTACATGGAAATCCCTGATGTTTGGGAAAAGCTGAGTACTCTGCCAATTTTTAATTTATGTGCTGCCTAACAAAATGAGCACATCTATGCCAATTTTCAGTGTTGATGATATTCATGTTCTTTTTTGCTTAGATTCTCTTGAGTTTTGCCCTTTATAAGTAGCTGACAAGATTAAAACATTAAGGACTTTAAAGCAGGTAATTTCAGATATGTTGAAGTAAACCTGGGCCAGGAAGTACATGCTTATAATCCCAGCACTGTTAGAATCTGAGGCAGGAGGATTACAAGTTCAAGCTTATCCTGTGCAACTTAGTGTCTTAGTGAGATCCTGTCTCAGAATATAAAAGAATAAAAAGTGCTGGGGATATAGCTCGTCCCCAGAGAAAGAAGGCTCTGGGTTCAATATTTCTTTTTTGTTAGTAGTGGTCATTGAACCCAGAGCCTGGAGAAATGAGTTTGCTTTTTACTACCTTGGTTTTGGTTTTATTATCTCTGAAAGCTCTGGGACCATCATCCTAGCCTTTTTTCTCTTCTTGCTGGCAACTATCTGGTATTCTGTTTGGGAACATTGCAGCAAAGGTGGCTGAAGGTTTGGTCAGACAACTCCGGGCTTTAGAAAGGAGAAAATGTCAAGCAAGGGCCTTGGGGAATAATCTTTTTTAAGGGAATCACTTTTAAGAAAGATATTTTAAGTTTTAAAAAGATTATATAAATATTTATTCTTTAAGAAAAGATTATTCATAGGAAAGAAGAAAGTTTAAAAGGCACCCATAAATCCGTCTTTCTGACATGGTTTACACTGGAGTGTATTTCCCTGTAGAATATTTTTCTAGGTTTATTACATATGTTAGAATATGGATCATACTATATATAGTGTGTAGCATCATGAACATTTTATTACATCATGGAATTTTTTTTCCAAAATTAATTTTTAATGGCTAAATAATGCTCATCCTCTATAGTCCACATAATTTATTAAATAATTGCCCATTATTAGATAAAAATGGAGCTGTTTGGGTTGAAGCCTGCAGTCCTGACTGTGCAGCCCTCACTTCAGCCTTCCCAGATACACCTTCTCAGAACCTCCAGTCCTTGTTGGGACACAGCTGGGAATGCAAGGGAGAGGGAAAATGAGGCTTTATAATTTAAGGCTTTGAATACCTGAGGTCCTACTTCAGCAGGCAACTGGGAATTTCTAATACTTTGTAAGAAAAGTGTTAACTTCTTGGCTAGCCAGTCTATCTCTTTGTCCCTGCCCCTTCTCTTTTGCTGTAATTGCCTCAAACATTCGTTAATTTTTGGAAGACCGCCATTTTTTTCTTTCAGTTTAAGTTGACACATAATAATTGTATATGTTTATGGAGTACAATATGATGATTCATTATATGTATACAACATAGAATGATCAAATCAAAGTAGTTAGCTTTTCACTGTTCATGAACATTTATTATTTCTTTGTGTGAGGAAACTTTGAACTTCTTTCTTCTAGTTCTATGCAAAACATGTAATAAATTATTGTGAACTGTTCTCTCGTGTTCTTTACCTTGATCTTTTCTTTGAAAAACTAACCTATGATCAAATAGAGAAAATGAAAGGGAAAGCAGTGTCTCATGAACCAATTTCTTCAATGACTACTAGGGGCCAGGCTGCATGGGTAAATAGTGATGCCAGAAAGAGGTGATAACCAAGAAAGGTCAGTTTGAAAAATGCTCAAGTTTGAGGAGGAAGGGATGGAGTTGGGAGTGGGCAAAATCTTTGGTAGGCTTTTTCTCTCTGTCCATTGCCATTTTCATCTTATCCTCGAAATACATTTCTCTTGACCTCTCTTGACCTGAATTTGACATATTGTCTTGTTCACTCAGTTTAAGATTCAAAAACTCATTAAACACACACACACAGCTGTACACCTACACACCTCACAAGGTTTAAAAAGAGGAGTTTTTGCAACAAAATGTAGAAGTATGAAAATAGTTCTTGAATATGGTTTGGTTCAAACACCCTATCTTTAGCCTGTTTTCTCTTTTTTACCTAATAAATCTTATCTGTTGCCTGTCTTTTTTTTTTTTAATTTAGCTGGTCAAATATAAGAAACTGGTACTGTGCAATCTATTTGGTGTATTTGTTTCATACTGATTCTGAGATTGTATAGTATATCGCAAATTATAGTACTCATAACTCCTGAATTTCACCATCTATCATAATATTGGTGAGATAGAGTCCTCAGAGGACTTAGGGACTAAAAGTAGAATGTATGTAATGGGATGAGATCTGATTCAGAGAGTCTTTTTCTGACTTGACTGTACTTGGATATTTGTATATCACGGCCCTAGCAACATAGCTGACTAGGACAAACTAGGTAATAATTCCCAATTTATTTACCAAATATATCCATTTATTTTTATTTTGCTGTTGTAGAAGACATGTACTTGTTGGATAAAGATCAGAAAATAAATCCAAAAAATGTTAATATCAACTAAAAGTACCAATATATGGAGATGATTTTGTTAATACTTTGATTTATTTGTAATTAGCTTTATTTTCCACTAAATTTGTATAAGACATTTATATTCATTATGTGAATGTATTTCCCAAATCAGTGTACGTACTTTTGTGCTCTTACAATCATCTTCACATTTGAAAATATTTAGATTATATAGTGAAAGTTTTTATATTAATAATGTTTTTGTATGGTTACTTTTTAATGATTGAATGTATTTCAAAGAGTTTTCCCCTAATGATTAAAATAATACAAGCTTGTTAATAGAAAATTTTGACAATATAAAAATTACCAAGAAAATAGATAATGTAATTCTTTCATCTCTCATAAAGGTTCAGAGGCATAAATGCATATTCTATACAGACTTTAGAGTTTCCACATATGCATCCTACCACACTCCGAGACAGAATCGTATGGTGCAGACTCTGAGCCTGATATTATCTCACAGTCCCTTGATCCTCACTGGAGAGATGAGCATCTTTAAAACCCATAGTTATTGTGAGAGTCAACCCAGAAAGTTAACATTATACTACTCTGAGTGCTGGGCACATGTTGCTGTTGTTTCTTTATTCACCCATTCATTCATTTTCAGTAATGAGTATTGAACTCAGGACTTTGCACTTAGCTACATCCCAAGCCTTTTTTTAATTTTTAATTTTGAAACAAGTTCTTGCTAAGTTGCCCAGGCTGGGCTTGAATTTATAGTTCTCCTATCTCAGCCTCCTAGAGTGCTGGGATTACAGGTGTATACCACCACACCTGGGACTGCTATTTTTAACTCCAGTATGTAGGGCTCTTTGAAACATGACCAAACATTGATTTGTTCCTCTTTATTTAAAGTCTAAATGTTGCTGCCTGCAAGAATGTAAAGGTTGGGTTTCACACATTGGCAGTAAATAGAAAACTGTCTTTCAGAAGTGGAGTGGGAGGCGGGGCTGTCTGATGTGATGTTGATACAGGTTGAGCATCTCCTATCCCAAATGCTTGGGACTAGAAATGTTCTGGAGTTTTTAGAATGTGGAATATTTTTGTCTATATAATGAGATCTCTTAGGGATGGGACCTCAGCCTAAACCTGAAATTCATCCATATTTCATATATACCATATAAATATAGTCCAAAGAAAATTTTACCCAATATTTTTATCACATCCGTGTTTTGACGGTGATCTCTTACATGAAGTCACATGTGGAATTCGCCACTTGTGGCATTTTGTCATCTCTCAAAAAGTTTTGGATTTTGCAGCATATCCAGTTTGCAGATTAGGGGTGCTTAATCAGTGCTGTGAAGGAAAACTACTCCCTTACCCCCAATTTTCCCTCCTCATTAACTGCTGACACTAAATCTTGTCTCTTTAGATGTGAGACTATGCTTTTTCCTTGCACAGTTGTCCTGGCAGCTAACTTTATTGGAATACTTTGAAGGGTAGACTCATAATGGCCCTGCCATTGACATTTTACCACTCTTTTTTTTTTTTTTTTTTGGTACCAGGGATCGAACTCAGGTCCTTGCGCTTGCACAGCATGTGGCGAAACCACTGACCTAAATCCCCAGCCCCAGCCATTGACATTTTAAAGGATCGGATCACAGTTTTCCCCTTTGGAAGAAATGCTAGTATTTTAATCAGCTGATTTTATCCAGAGGTTTTGGGGATGCAGTTCATGGATGATTTTTACCTCTGAAAACATTAAATGAAATTTACCTTCAAGGTATGCTTCTTACGGTAGGAGCAGGAAAGCATCTCTGTAAAGTGAAGACTAAGAAAAGGACAGGATCAAGAAATCTGTAAAGTTAATGCAGTTTGGCATTTTGTGTACCTTTAAGGCCTTGTATGTGTAACCTAATACTTTCTGTGTCACTAGATGTTTTTCTGTTAAAGAATAGTGGGCTCATGTCATTTTTGCCTTTGCAGCCATTTTTGATTTATTTCTTAAAATCTCAATTAAAATTTTAATTCACTCTTTTCTGACTTACTAAATTATATTGGTTAATGTTAGTCATTTCTTTTTATTAATTACAGAACTATTCAGTATTTCAGTTTTTAAAAATCTAAACTCTTAACTTTAATGTACTTACATAAGGCAGTATTTGCTTAAATGTTCTGAAGCTTAAAAACTTAAACATGAGTTTCCTTTACTCTTAGAACAGAACTTGTATTAAGTGCTTACTGCATGGAAATTACTGTGCTAGATATTAAGGATGTATAAATGAAAAAGACAAAGTCCTGTCCTTAAGGGATTCACTGTATAATGCAGAAGACAGATACATTAAAAATCAATGTTTACACCTGGTGTGGTGGCATACTCCTGTAATTTCAGCTACTCTGGCAACTAAGGCAGAAGGATTACAAGTTTGGGCCTCTCTTGGGCAACTTAGCAAGACCCTACTTCAAAATAAAATAAGGGCCAGGAATCTTGCTTGGCATGCCCAAAGCCCTAGGTTCAATCCCTAGTCTACTAATGCTGCTGCTGATCCTGATAAT